AAAAAAAAAAAAAAAAAAAAAAAAAAAAAAAGAAAAGAAAAGAAAAAAAGGGGGGATGGGGAGGTACACTATGTTTCTTACTTCCTTTTACCTGATACTGTCACCTGACCTGATTCTGCCATAAGAGAGTCCGGAGCAAATTCTGACCAGAGAGTCGACACACATGATTTTCGGGAGGCAGCTTCAGCAAATCAAATTTTGAGCAGGAGAAAGGAGAGTTACTCTAATTCCATATTATTGTATTAAAAATATTTTTATTTTGTGGATTTATGCTTTTAACTACAAAACTTGAGAGTTGTATTGCTACAATTTAGCAGAATCCAACAAATTAGCAGGATGCAATGTACCTTCAAATTTTCAGACTTAACAAACTACCATTTCTTTCAAATAGCAAAATCAAACACTGGCAATGCAAAAAGAGTAAGGAATAAAAAATACATGAACATACACAACTGTGCTCAAATTACTAAACATTTACTGTTACTGCTTATGTGTACTAGGCAGACGATACATTGACCTGTTCAGCATATTATTTTAGAAAAATAAAAAATAAAAAAACAAAAAAAACACCATTCCGGATATCAAGTACAATTTTGCAAAAGAAACATGTCAAAATACTACATTCTCATAGTACTTGTTTTTTCCTTCATAGTATTTATCGGTACTAACTATTAGTGTACATATTCATTTAATATTTGTCTCTTCTGCTAAACAATAAATTCTGTGAAGGCAGACTATGTGTCTTAAAACCATGATAATCCCTAGCACCTACTATAGTGCCTGATTAATAGTATGTATTGAATATACTGTTCAAGGATAAATAAATTTGTATCGTCTTGGAGGCTTTAGTATTAATTAGTCATAAAATTTACAAAAAAACTTCTAAATTTGCATAGCAATTTATACTTAGTTACTCTCCTTTCCACAATACTAACCTAAGGCTTGTGAATACACATAAATGCTAATATATTTTGCCATTATCTACTACAGAGACCAGGAAATACATTCTTCTGTCTCATTGCTGTGTCAAAGAAAAAACTATCCTTTTCCATGTTCATATAAATGTATTAATACCCTGAAGATTGGGCAATATTGCTTTAACTTTCAGAAATAATAAAAAAAAAAATACTGTGAATAGTAAAATAAAGTTTCCCGTGTTCCATTTTTCCTAAAGAGATAACTAGAAAATAAATACATGTTTTAGAACTCATCAAAAGTAATCCACTTAGTCACATAAAAAAGATAATGTGTTTAATCGTTTTTGGTTTCTGAAGATTCAAATATACTGAACTGAAAAGCAAAAGAAGCCAGAATAAATTTCGTGAATTAAAAAAATATACATACATAGGCATGCATACAAAACATAAAGATTCCTAATTAATCAAATCTATTTTAAAAAATCAGAAATCAGACCTCTGTAGCAAACATTTTATACTGCTTACAAATTTAAAATAACTCTCTAATGTTTAGAGTATGTGAAATATTCTAAATGACTGTGATAGTACTAAAATGATTCATTGTAAATAACTGAACTAGTTCTTGAATAAATTTTAAAAGTAATTTGAAATTCGTAAAAGTTAATAAACTTGGAAATAAGATTTATACACCCTTCCATTGGGACGCTGCTAAAGCATATTAATTACGCAACATGTATACTGTTGTATTCTTCTATTTTTCCAACTTAATGTGTAGCGGCAATACAGGCAGAAACCAGGCACTGCTAGTTATGTTTCTGAAGACAAAATTCCAACTACTAATGTTAATAATTAGTAAAAAGTTTATATTATGTAATTAAACATTTGAGGAACTAAAGCATTAAATATTTTGCCAATTAAACAGAATTAACGATTTTCTATTTTCCAGTTAAGCCACAACTTTCCTAGTTATTTAAGAAAAATCTTAACATCAACTCATTTCAATTTTCAAAAATTTATCTCACATTAGGGGAGCTGACATTTTTAAAAAATGAAAAATTTAAACAACTGATCCAGTCTGTACCATTAAAAAGTACTCTTTTTAATCTATAATGCTCTAAAATTTCATATGCTAATATTAGGCAGAAATTGTAACATTTTTAAATGAATAACAAGAAAATAAATTGTATTTTTGGCCTGGCGCGGTGGCTCACACCTGTAAATCCCAGCACCTTGGGAAGCCGAGGCAGGTAGATCATGAGGTTAAGAGATCGAGACCATCGTGACCAACATGGTGAAACCCTGTCTCTATTAAAAACTACAAAAATTAGCTGGGTATGGTGGTGTGTGCCTGTAGTCCCAGCTACTCTGGAGGCTGAGGCAGCAATCACTTGAGCCCAGGAGGCAGAGGTTGCAGTAAGCGGAGACTACACCACTGCATTCCAGCCTAGCAACAGAGCAAGACTCCATCTCAGGTTAAAAAAA